ACGTTAATATGAGCTCTGAAGTTTTAAAAACATTTTAATCACACTCGAAATTCTTTGATTGTACACAATGGACAACCTGTGCTCTGCCCACCGCGTAGTCAAAACAAGATTGTTGGTGTCATAAGCCGTAAAATTTGCTGCTACTCGAAGTTGAGCAAATGAAACAAACAAATATGCTAATATTTATATCTTTTATATAGATTTAACTAGGATTATTCTAGTAAAAGTAAATTCGTGCTATTGAGAAGTAAAATTGTTTGTTTGTTTGTTTTTAATTATGCACAAAGCTACACAATGGCTCTCTGTGCTCTGTCCACCACGGGTATCGAAACCCGGTTTCTAGCGTTGTAAGTCCGCAGACATACCGCTGTGCCACTGGGGGCGAGAAATAAAATTGTGTTATTTGTTTTATAAATTAAATCCAGATATATCCAAAACAAAATGTCTGAAAGAAGTTATTGTGTACACGGGAGTAATAAAATACCTATGTAAGAAGTTGATGTAATTTAGTGCGAATGAAAATTAAGTAAGAAGAAATTACGATAGCCAATATTTAACTAAATCATTTTGATTTAGTTCGGAGTATCGAACGCCAAAACTGTTTTAAAAAAACATGAAAAATATAACCTTTTGGGTGCTCGAGAGCTTAACTGTTCAATGCCGAAATTACAGACGCATCTCGTGATAATGTATATAAAACATAAAATCGTTTAAGGTGGATGATGACTACAAATGTTAATGTTCAATTATTCTCTGTCATTTAATACACAAGAAAATTATGTCATAAAGCCACGATAGAAGAAACAGTCAATGTGTTGTGGTGATAAGATAACATAAGCCGATTCTGAACTTGTAGCTTCTTAGAAGAAAGCAGTGGAGCCACTTTGTATTTTGGACCAATTGTGCACAAGCTTTCATTATTTCTCAGAATACTTTAAACATCAAATATTTACTTATATTCGTTTATCCTCCCTTTCAAAATAAAGAATAAATTATAGGTTTATAAAAAGATTAAATAAATAAAGGGCCTTGCTTTTGCTCGTTTGGAAATTATGTCTAATGACATCCTTTCTTAACTGTACAATACCTTTACGAAAAGTAGAACTTTGAGATATAAAATTCAGCTAGTAGTTTTAATTATTAACAGATTTAAAGTTGTTAATTTCTGGATAATTCAGAAAATAGCACCATCAACACGAGTTAAGTATAACACCTGTTAGGCTCTTATACCTCATCCAACGAGGTGACAGTTTTACCAACTAAGTTAAAGGGTTATTTAGTATGAGCTTCTAATAATAAACTTACTATAACTGGGTACCACAAGTGCTCCAAAGTCAAACGACAGAAGCAGTGAATTTAATGAGTCGAATTCGCGGTCATTAAGGGTGTCAAGACAAAAGTAAGTTTAGAAAATAATTATAAATTTAATTTCAAAATATTGCAGTAAAGGTTTCAGTAGGAATGGAATACTTACTGCAATTATAAAGAAACTCAGAAGAACGAGCTATATTTTAAGATTTGTTAACCATTTCTGGGTGTTCACGAAAAATAATCGAGGAATAATTTCATAGGAATTGTCCGAAAAAAAAAAGGAAACTTATTACTGTTCTGCCGCCGATTATTTTACAATAATGTTGGGAGAAACTGTTTGATTAATATAATAAATTAATTAATAATTAATAAAACACTTTATAAACTTTAGTAAAGTTACGCTTATTAATGAACCTTGTACCAGGAGCATAAAAGGAACGGCGAGTTTAAAATACAACGATTAAAAAGTTTGGTCAATTCTACAAAACTGTTTAAATCTCATTTTATCTTTTGAAAACATTATTTTCTTCAAAACAAAGTAATTACATGCCTTACGGAACCTACAGAAGTTTGCTAAAAAAAAATTAGAAATTTAGTTCTTTTTTAGTACATATAGTCTGCTGTGTCGTGAAAATTTTTTAATTTTTATCAGAATAGACAATTTTTTAGAAGATAAAACAACTGCTTAGTATAAAACAATGTTTCAGTAACAGTGATTTTCAGTTATGTCCTAATGAACCAACTTATTCAATAAGACTTTGTAGAATGCAAAAAATTTGCCAAGCGTTCTAAAGTTATAATGTTTAATTTACTCTTTTACAACTCTTAAGGAGTATGAATGGCCTAAGCATATTTATTACATACAATTAGAATCGTATTTATCGTATTATCATATTTTTAATAACACCCAGAAGAAGGTTGAAACGATATATTGAACTATCTGGTTATATCATTTCTTTGAAGCCTTTCATCAAAGACAGAGGTTGTAGTATATTTACTTGCTGATAACTATGCGATTTGATTCATTCAAGCTAAACGTAAAAGAGTTTTAAAATTGAACAAGTTATTCGAATCTTGTATCGCTTGTCAGATAGATACATAGTTTCAATAACTTATATTTGAGAAGCACCTGAATGATTTTTCATCTTTAAATTAATTATTTGTTTAGATAATAAAACATATAAAACTTTTAAGTAGTGAATTTCTCATTACCCTTTTAATTTACTGTCAGTTTTGCCATAACGGATATGTTTTATTAATTTACCGTCAGTTTTGCCATAATGGACATGTTTTACACGTCATTTCAACAAGCGTCAAGCTAAGAAATATTTCAATTCACATTTCATTAACTGTTTGTAAAAACTACATCAGTTCACTGAATCCTAGGTGATGAAACTTTTCAGCTCTTTCGCTACGTATTTATAAAATCGTTCCAATGTTTACTACACTATTACTAAGTCATGAGCGTGTTTTATTTCTGACCCCACTCACTGGTATGTAAAAAAAAAAAAGTCTCAGTTCTCAGTGACACACACACACAAAACAAAAACCCACTTCGATGCTCACCACGGTCAGTTATAAGCCAACATGTTTTTATAAATCCAATCGAATACTTAAGACAAGTAATTCTTCCTTATTGAACCAATTTGATTTGTGTATATTGTAATAATCTCATGGTATTTTGTATCATTTAGTTCAATTAATTAATTTGTTATATATTATCTTTTAGATATTTGTCAAACAATCATAAGCAAGTGGACCATTAAACCAGTCAAATTAACAAATATATAAAGAAATAATTTAAAAGCCAAACAATCCTGGAAATAACTCTGTAAATATGTGACAAGGGCAAAATATAAATTGAATTAACGAGCATTTTTGTCCTCCTAATCATATCTTTAGTTGTTTGGATATTGTAAATATTCTTAAGATACTGTAATATGAAATGTTAACATGGAAACAAACACACGATCTAGCTAGGCAACTAGTAACATTTTCTAGTGGCTAGGAAAATAAGAAAAGTTGATTTTGTAAATTAAGATAATTTTTGTCTTTTTTACCTACAAAATACCATGAAATAGACATTTTATTAGATCTATCTATACTGTGTCCTAACTTTCAAATGAAACGTAAATGCCACAAAAATTAGATTGAGAACTAATCCAAGGATGTGGTAAACTACACGAGTTTGGTTTCAACGTTGCTTTTAATCCCCCAAGACAAATTCAATATTGACTACTATCACCACATTGATTCAATATTGACTACTATCATACCATTGACTTACAGCTGCTGTCCTTCAATTTTCGCTTTAATACCCCCAAAGGGAGAGTTTAACTTCTTATTTAACTCCATTTTGGCTCTATTATTGTGTGTTTAGTGGTAAACGACTTTATGAAGTAATCCATTTTCCAATAACGAGCTCATGGCGTTGACGATGATGAGGACAATGTTTTTTTCATTACTGGTGATCGAGAGTTTACGTGTGTGGTCCCATTCTGTCACCTTTTTTTAGGGGCCCATTATAGGTAGACTACATATAACTGAAGGAGCAGAAACCCTTTAAACATGTGGGTTTTCCTATGAATATTCTAAATCTTTTCGTGGACTTTGATAAAGGTTCTATTATATTGATATAGAAGGTAAAGTTTGAATGTCACAAAACTGTACAAGCTAGGTTATTTACAGTGATGATGACTCATAGAATCTCCAGCGTTTAAATGTCACAAAACTGTACGAACTAGGTTATTTACAGTCATGACTCACATAGAATCTCTAGCGTTTGAATATCAACAAACTGTACAAGCTAGGTTATTTACAGTCATGACTCACATAGAATCTCCAGCGTTTGAATGTCACAAAACTGTACAAGCTAGGCTATTTACAGTCATGACTCACATAGAATCTCTAGCGTTTAAATGTCACAAAACTGTACGAACTAGGTTATTTACAGTCATGACTCACATAGAATCTCTAGCGTTTGAATATCAACAAACTGTACAAGCTAGGTTATTTACAGTCATGACTCACTCATAGAATCTCCAGCGTTTAAATGTCACAAAACTGTACGAACTAGGTTATTTACAGTCATGACTCACATAGAATCTCCAGCGTTTGAATGTCACAAAACTGTAACAAGCTTGGTTATTTACAGTCAAGACTCACATAGAATCTCTAGCGTTTGAATATCAACAAACTGTACAAGCTAGGCTATTTACAGTCATGACTCACATAGAATCTCTAGCGTTTAAATGTCACAAAACTTTTGAATATATGACGACGAGTAAGTTTGTGGAATACTGTGTGTGAACAGTTAGAGAAAGCAATATTGTGACTAAAATATTGAAGAAGTTAGTTTTTTTGTGTGTGTGCCTACTGACGGCTCAGTAGTAAATCTGAAGGCCTCTAACGCAAAACAAAAATCGGGTTTCAATACAAGGGTTAGCAGAGTACAGGTAACCCTTTGCGTAGCTTTACACTTAACAACAAACAAAAGATATTTTTTGTGACTCTATATTACAGTTGTAGTATAGTTATTTGAAAACTTTCATATTTCATTTCTGGACCTATTCATTCATATTCTGGACCTATATTATTAATTGAAAATACATTTACACGATGTAATAATTACAGTCCAGTGTTCATTAGATTTATTTTAATAAAGAATAATCAAACTTACTACTTTAAAATAGCAGAACAAAACTCACAAACTTTATTTGACAACGATCATACTAAGTTACAATATAAAAACAGAGGTTTATAATGAATACAGCCATATTGGATAACAGTGAAACTATTGATGTGAAATATATTAACGTTTTATTAACGCACTTGCTACACGTGTATATATATATTAAACACAATCGAAGCTAGAGAAACATGCGTTCTATTACTACCAAGTGTTTCCTGACGTTGTTTGTGGAGCCCCGCAAACAAACAGCGCCAGAAATACTAAAGTATTTATATTATAAACCACACGTATATATATATATATATATACTGTTGCAATAATTAAACTATGCTAGTACATATACCTTAATTAGGAAGCCCAAAAAACACTCATAAGACGTTTAAATATCGAAAAAATAGCTAAGTATTCAGAGATCTTAAAAGACAAATATTTTTACATTGAACAAAAACACTTTTATAACATCTAGGCTCTAAACTCAGAATCAGCATTACACACACACACACGTAAATAAATACAACGTACCTATTTTACTTCTAATTGTGATTCAGTTATAACGGCATATGTCTACATATACCCTAAATAGCTATTATTAAATAAATCAAATCTCATCGGCTCTCCCTACTTTTCTCTCAGAAGCTATTGTCTTCCAGGACCGCTCGATACAATGTCAGTGTTCTAGTTTGAAGTGTTCTTGATATGCACAGCTGTTGACAAAACAAATCTAAACTATAATTAATTTACTATCTAAAGTTAAGTCACGATACTGTGATTACTTTTTGTTTTATAACACATAGCACATTCTTCGTAATCATTAAACTATGTGTAATCCAATGCACACATTTCGTTAAAGTTCTTTTCAGTTTAGTCTTGTTTTTAACATCACACTAAATCCGCATTTCAAGAAAAAGAGCTCGTAGTTATTAGCCACAGGCTAGGTTTGGCGGTGAGTAACAGTTTAAAGCTATAGCCTCCGGTCTTTCAGGCTCATATTATTCTGGTAACTTTGACATCAGTATTTCTTCTATAATAGAAATTTACGGCAGCAAGTATTCCTGAACATCTACCACAAATACTCACTGAATTTGAATTAAAGAATATTTAGTCTTAACTTTATAGTTGTTGTTATCGGAAATGCATCCCAAAAAGATGTTCTCGGAAGTGCACCCCAAAAATACATCTAATAGAAGACTATAAAAATCACAAGCAGTGAAACAATAAGAATTGTTACACAATCCAAGTCTCAAACAATGCCGACATAGTTATCTATTGACAGCAATAACAGGATAATGGGTTGTGAAAAAAAAGTGACAAAATCTTTTTTATTAAAAGATAATTTATATCTACGACTTTTTTAAATAATTGCTTTTTTTATTGTTTTTGTCTTTTGGTTAGATAGAAACAAAGTTTTGTCTCAGAAAAGCTAAGCTGGTCTAATGTATATCAGGAAACTTTCATGATATTATTAGAGGTCCACAAAACCTTCTTACAAAATATCGTTATTCAGATTGGTACTTTTAGTTGCACAAGTCCCAGTTGTTTCTCGTTGTCTGTTTGTGTTATTATGTCCTGGACTACAAGAGATTACCTTCCGAAAAGCTTTGCGAAAATTGTCGGACAGAAAAGCATAAAGAATAGGGTTTACGCATGAGTTCATATAAGCCAGGATGTGAGAGGCAATCTGAACAACGATTGTGGCTGTTTCCAGGTGATATTTATTCAAACTTTTGAGTACCAGAACGATCTGTATGGGAAACCAACAAATGGCAAAAATCAGGACAACAATCACCACCATTCGCGTGACTCGTTTCTTTGACTTGTGACTTTCTGCGCTCATCTTTCCACCAGGAGCTGCATGGAACCATAATCTTTTCAGTATGAGCATGTAAAGGGCAAATATCAACACCAATGGTACTACGTAGGAAGACAGGAAGAATGAAATCTGAAAGGCAGCGTGATTATAGCCCTCATTTGCAAGGAACACACAAACGGAATGCTCTTTCTGCCTGAACATGTAGTTCATTAACCCATGGGCCTGAAGGACTGGTACGCAAGCAAGAATAATACACGACCATGTGATGCCAATAGCAATGTATGCATTTTTTTCTGTGCGGATTGATATTGACGTTATAGGGTGTACTACAGCCATGAACCGATCGAGAGACATAAGGACTAGAGTGTAAATACTGGCGTAGGCGCACACAATCACTAAGTATTGCACGATGCGGCACCATACGCCACCAAATGGCCAATAAGGAAGAGAATAGTCCCATGCTGTGAAAGGAACACAAAAAATTATGAACAGGAGGTCTGCCACTGCCAGATTTATGATCAAAAGATTGGTAGTAGACCGCATCTGAGGATTAAACAAGACAACAATGACGACAAGAAAGTTGCCAAATAGTCCAACAATGAATATGGTGCCAAAAAGAATAGGTACAACAATACTAAGAATCCGTTCCATTTCTTCAGCTTGAGGATAGTCTATGTCTTCTTGTTTGCTGTCATTCCCACTGACAGAAATGTTACTCATGTTGTACATTTCTTGAAGAGAGGAGTTAAACATGTTGAAGATAGAAAATCTCGTTGTATCATGGGTACTTTCTGTAGAAGGACTGTAGTTTTGAACATCAATTTCAATATCCATGTACTCCATGTTTTAACTTCTGTGAATCTATAAATCCAAACAACTTCCACTTATGACTCACTTGGAATCTATTAGAAACGGAAAAAAACAACAAAAAGAGTCAATATTTAACGTCAAATAAAATTCAAAAAAGTCTGAAGATTATCATGTTATTTTCTTGATTAAAATGGAATAAAATGATCTAAGTTAAAATATTACGTTTTGTATAATATAAGTATATATTGCATATATCAAATATATTAAATCTCATCCTTATCTTATTTCTTTTGAATGTTCAAAAAATGTATTCATATAAAGACATAATCAAAAAAAGATCAATAATAAAAACAAGAAGCGTTGATTTATTGCAAAATAACTTGCAATATCATTTCCTGATTTACGTTGAAGCTGGTTATGTTATGCAATCAACGGCACATAAAATATTTATCAAAGTGTATTTCTAATGTTTTTAGAACATGGATAAAATTTGCTACTTCACTGTGTGTGTGTGATAAACGTGTAAAATTCGTCACATTAAGGACATTCAGTATTTATCAGTGGATTTTAATCAAACATACTCTTTATTTTCAAGTTGTGTGACCACTTTATTTCATTGAATTTTTACGGCTTTTTGATTAACCTGATTTTAATGTGGCATTTAACAATTAATCGGCTAAAACTACTTTAAGAGAAGATTAATACATCACTACATAGCTTCATCGAATTTCGTCATCTGTTGTGATTTACCAATAACGGATAATAAATTATTTCAGAGATTTTGAAAGGCACTCTGGCGTGTAAATAATTGTCACAGACCTCTGAACCCATCTGACATAATCTCACAAGTAATAAATAATTATGTAAATCTTATTATACTAACATGCCTAAATGGCTCTAGAAATCGTGGACAGTTCAGTTGTGTGATCTCATTTTCCCATAAGGTGGATAAATTGAAAGAATCGATATTTTGTGAAACAATGTTTCCCATGTCAGGTTGATTGGTGTGAACTTCATGAAAATAAAACTTTTATATGATATTGTCATCCGTGCTAGATTTGAGTTGCAATGTTTTAAAGTTTTATAAGCTATGCAGTGAGGGTTTACTTTGCTTCAGAATGTTCACGCAAAACTATAAAATGGTTATCTGATCATAGACACCCTTAATTTGTAACTGAAAGACTATAGGAAAAGTAGCTAGTCAAAAGCACCCACCGCCAACAATGGGATTTGATTGTCACTCTTATAGCACACCGACGACCCCAAAATGTGGAGCGTGTTTTATTATGCTAACCTCCAGGCCATGTATTGCATCATAGTGAGTAATCCTATTTATTTTTCTGTGACAAAATTAATTGTAAAAAAGTCCAAAACATCAAGTGAAAAACCTACTTTATCCACAGGTAACTTAGGGTGAACTATAAATGCCCACAAATGCCCAGAACTGCGAAATGGGTAAAAATCAACGCGAGAATTGCTGTTTTGTAAAGCTTTAGGATAACATTCAGTATTTGAAAACAAAAACACTGTACTCAATCTGAAAAACATGTATTTTAGGGAAACGACTAGAACAGTTAACTTACTGAAACAGTGCACTGTTTTCCACTTCTGGTGAAAAGTGATCTAAACAGATAGCCAAAAACAAACAAAAAACATTATATGTTGAATGTAATTTCATTCTTTATTTGCTCATAAAAACAAGGCTATTTATAAAAAAAAACATGATTTGCTGAAACAAAATAATAAGGAAAACGCTCTTTTAGATAAAAGAAAGAAATTGTTATAAATATATTGCACTTTCAGAAATAATCTGTATTTCCAATTCGAAGATAAAATATGTGAAGTCAAAAACTTTTAGACATTTATAACATTGAATATTTTACGCATAAATCTGCACATTTTGACTTTCTCAACAAAAAAGTAAGTTGGATAGAGTATAATGTTTTTACGAAGTTTAAATTAAGGACATTTTTGTTACATGAAACTCATTTCATAGATAACAAGTATTTTATAGAAACTGTGTATAGGTTACATTCTGATCTAATCAGAAATATCTGTTATGCTAATGAAAACGAAAATTTACCACTTTTATCGCGAAAACATAATGAACTCATTTCGTATATATAATTATGGATGTTAATCTGTAGAGTAAAAACCACTGTCTCGCACATAATCGACTTATGTTCAACACTCTAGCATAGAATATACATGAGTCTGTCTAACAATTTCACTTGTAAGATATAAATCATTTTCACAGGTTTCTGAACCATGCTTTGGCTTTCTTCCGTTAAACATATTAATTCCCCTGACTGGAACTTTATATTTCAAATAATCTATTGTTAAGTACTTAAAGAAAAAAATATCACATACAGTAATTCATGACGTTACTGGTTCAAGTTGGTTACTAAATTGACGATATATTCATTAAGTTAGAGAATAAGATATGTCTTAAAATCTTGTTGGAAATTGTTTATTGCGTTAGTGCTAGAGATTGCTTATAAACTTGATGATTGACACTATAAATTTAATTTCTACGTCCGCTGATTAGGAAAGTAATTGAAATTGTCTATTCGTAAAGGGTTTACCGGATACTTTTTTGGTGTTTAATAAATTAATGGTAATAAGATCCACTAACGTAATTGTTGATACGATTTATTAAGATACAGATTGAGATTGTTAAGTAGTCTGATGATTGAGATTGTTAAGTAGCCTGATGACTGAGATCGTTTATTCAATTAGTTGATGAGAGAGTTTGTTTGTTTTGAATTTCGTGCAAAGCTACACGAGGGCTATTTGCGCTAGCCGTCCCTAATTTAGCAGTGTAAGACTAGAGGGAAGGCAGCTAGTCATCACCACC